CTGCAAAGCTACTGCTACTGCTAGTGCTACTGCTAGTGCTAGTGCTAGTGCTAGTGCTACTGCTACTGCTACTGCTACTGCTACTGCTACTGCTACTGCTGCTGCTTGCTACTACTACCAGTTACTACCACCGCTACTACCACTGACACTACCAATACTAATGACGTTGGCACTTGGGAGCGCGAACTCGAGTCGAGGCAAGGAGCTCACGGCCAAGCAGGACACGGGGCTGGTGGATGCGGTTCTAGGCGATCCAAACCTACCAGGCATGCCAACTTCCCCAAAGTGAAGCTTCGGGAGCGGTCGGGAATTCTTGGGTTGGGATGTCTGGATGAGGAGTTTTTGTCACAACCACCACCAGGTGGCATCTAGATTGAGCCGGGTACAACCAGCATTTTCGCTATCTGCACCATGCAGCAGGCCAAGCACATGTGAATCGCCTGACTTGGCGAATGGCCGGACATCTCTGGTTCATATCATGAAGAACAGGTAGGGCATGGCATCGCCTCGGTGCAGGCAGGTTGGAGGCATGGCAGCGTCTCTTCGTGGAAGGGCCAAGCGCAGCTGTCAGGACGGCCTTGTCTTTTGAGCATTCCGACGTGATCGCTCATGCCCGTTTCATGTAGCTTTAGTGAGGACCCCTGGGAAGCCGCCGGTGCAGCTCCACTTGCTTTGGGGCCACTGCCACGAGTCGCTCCTGCAAAGCCCGCCAGGTGGCAAATGCCAAAGCAGCATTCCCCGGTTTGCGAGTGCACATGCCAGACCATAGTCCGTGCCACCTCCGATGTAGGTGCAAGTGGGACTAGCACACGGCAGCCTGACTTCCAAGCCTTGATTCAGCGCCGGCGACGGCTTTGGATGGAGGCCGCGTGCATCGCCTAGGCTAAAGAAGGCTAAAGCTACCTGCTGCTTTGACACTATGTGGACTGCTTTGGCCGGTCTGTGAGTTGACGTGAGGTACCTGCCGCTAAGCGAGCACGACGCACCCCGTCGCGCTTTGAGGGCGGCCGAAGTTGGTGTCAAGGAGCCTGGGACGAAGTCTGAAGCTTGCTGTTCTGGGTTCTTGTCCGAGTTTCTTGCGATCTTGTGCCAGCGGGTCGTATCCTCCCCCTCCCTCCGCTCTCCCTCCCTCCCCCCCTCCCGCCCTCCCGCCCCCTCCCTCCCTGGATTGATCTGTCTTCCTTCCTTCCTTCCTTCATGCATGCAGGGCGTTTGATGAGGAAGCTTCGGCTCGAGAGATGTCCCAGCGGAAGCGCATTCATGTGAGGGGGTTTTGAAGCTGCTCCTTTCCAGGATGGCGGCAGATGATGCGGAGCCGTGCCTTGATCGCTACGTCAGACTCTCGTAGGCCTTGCTGTAGCCCGTGGGCTGTCAGGTGAAGCTGACCGCGTCCTGTTGCAGACCTTGGAGATCTCTGCGGAAGCCGCGGTGACGGCTGCCAAGCTCTGGTGGAAGGCCCGTGAGAGTGTTGGAAGCTGTCGCTCATTTGGCAGTCGCAGTCTACGGAGGAGATACGGCTGCAACCTCCCTGGGCGCCCCTTTTCGGCAGAGACACGTTGGGACACTGTGCATGGGCTTCTGGTCTCCGCGTATCATACACGTATCTGTTCAAGTTGTGAGAACTGAAGCCTGGCTGTTGCGGTCTGAGTCTGCAGCCATCCTCCCTCCCCCCTTTCCTTCCGAGATTGGTGCATTCCTCCCTCGCCGAGCCCGAAAAGCTCCGTGCTGGGATTTCGTCTCGCTTGGCCAGCGAAGAACGTGGAGGTGCTCGAGTTGCTCGGCCCCTCGTCCTGCACAGCTAGGCCCGCAAGGCTTTTGGCCCGAACATGAAGCCGCGAGCTTGTTGGGGGTGATAAGATGCGATCAAACAGCGAAAGAGCTGCCGCAGAGCGCGATTCGAGCCAAAACTTTGCAGCGATGCATAGCTCGTGGTCATAGGTTGTGGAAGGCTTGTCCAAGAGTCGGGAGTGCAGACCTTAGTGCCGTAAAGGGGTGCATGCTCTTGACGGGTCTGGCCTGTTTTCCATTATGGCCTGGTAGCAGGGAGCCCGCTGGCAAGTAGGCCAAGTAGGCCACGTGTCTCGGACCGAAGGCTCTCCGACGAAGCTCCGCCGCTTCTGGCTGCCTTTGTTGAGCTCTTGTCTTCGTGGCTGCCGAAGCGGCTGGCGTCTGAAGGAGGTTGGGCGGAGTCGACCGGGGACTTTGAGGCTTTTGCTCACCTTCGAGCATGCCCGGCCGAGCAGGTGAGGCACTGGCATGCCAGCAATGCCTCATGGCTGCACCTTTGGTGGCTTCACTTCGAGTTCGAAGCAGATCAGCAGGCGGCTTTGGGCGGTATCTGTGCTGAGGTCTGGTTGTGACGCTGCCTGGTGGAGACGAGACGGTTTCCAGGTGGCTGCAGAATGCCATGGGCATGTCGCAGTGCCTGGGCAAGGACAGAAGCAGATGCATTGCTGGATGCATAGAAGTGTCAGTTGGCCGAACACGAATGTGGCGTTCCCTCTTGCTTGTTCGAATCGCTACGCGGCAAGCGCTGCAGATGCTCGGAGAGAGAGTGAATAAGAGTCATACCCCAAGCAAAGCAGCGAGAGAGAGAGAGAGGGAGGCAGGGAGGGAGGGAGTGTGAGGCAAGAATTAAGTCATTTGCCTTGTGGCTGGCATTAGGACGTGCTGACAGAAACCCAAGCAAATCAAGCGGACGTATCTATCGCCTGGTTGATTGTGATGATCCAGCAGGATATTTGAATTGATGGTTTCTGACGGGTTCAGAGAAGGTCGAAGAGGACCTTTGCATCTTTTGCCCAAGTCTTCGTCATGCACTACATAAATAAAATGTCATGACTCATGACATTCGCCCCGAACCTCGCGGCTGTGGCTTGCCCTCCCTTACCTTTGCCAAGCTTGGCTGAGGGCACGGACCTTGCACGTGCCGTCCGCCAGGAACTCAGTTTGTACATCTTTGTCCTTGTGTCACTGTTTTCCTGTGCCTCATTCTGAGAGGATGGTGCAGATGCAGGACTTGCAGGAGGTCCAGCCGCCACAGCACCGTCACGTTCTGGCTCCGAACTGCAGTTTTCGAGAGGTCAGGCAAATCTGGTGCTCGTGGAGCTTTGCCAGACTCCAGATGCGCATCACACTTGTGAGCTCGTGGGGTGCTCGGGCATCCACAAGTATATACACTCTGCGGTATGTTTTGCTGTGAATTTCTGTGCTTACCACAGCCCCAGTGTCTCCGTGAGCAATGTCTGACGCCGCCAGCACTTGTTCACATCGGGTTCAAGCCGTGTCCACTGCTACGGACCGTGAATGGATTCATCGGCGGTGCAAGCATCCCAGCATTTGCTAAAGGCTAAGGCTGCTAAGATCTGTTAGGCCACAGATGCCCCGGATCGTCGAAGAGAGAGTCTACTGGAACCTTTGGTCCACCCGTCCTTTGCGATGGAGTTCTGACGCTGTGGAGCTGCAGCCGTAAACTTGCCACAAGCTGGCGCGATGCGCAGCTTCGCGTGGAGCTGGCGACGTGGCAGGACCGGCAACTCATCGCATGCGCCGCATGTTACCGCATGTTGTAGGCTCGGTTTTGTTCTGCGTTCCTGTGCTTGCTGATTCGTGTACTTAGATATGGTTCTTGTTCGCCTGCTGCATTGTACCTCCAAAGGCTGCTGGTGATCGTCTCGGCAGCCGCATCTGCCTCGCAATGGCTGTTCACACCCTCGCTTGGAAGGCGTGGTGAGGTGAGCTGACGGAAACAAATCTACTAGTTACTAGCAACATTCGAAACAAGAATCGATCATGGCCTGAGGATCTAGTGCACTAGCTTCGCACACAAACACGAAGAAGTCAGCAAGCGCTCTGACCTTCCGAGCTCGGGTTCAGAACCATTTCATGAAACCCCGAAGGTGCGGCTGCACCCCGACCCGGACTCCCCGAGTGCGAGACAGTATGCATCTCTTCCCCCACTCAGAGTCAAAGTCACGTTTTCCCTGGCGTTCAGGGCCGAGGCAACTCCCAGAGTCCCCCGGTGTGCCGGGTCCAAGGAGAAGCGCCCGGAGCCTCGGAGCCTGGAAGTTCTGGTCCGGCAAAAGGGGGGAAAAGAATGGAGGGAGGGCCCTATGCCCTGGACCGGACACTGCAGCTGAAGCAACGTCAGCGGTTGCGTCCCATGTTTTGGAGCTCAGGACGTCTACGAAAGCTTCCTGATGAAAGCTAGGTCTGAAGGTGTTGACGAGGCCCCACGGTCTGTGAAGGGAGCTAGGGCCGCTAGGGGTTCCGGAGGCCTTGCGCTATGCATCGTCGGCAATGCCTAAACGACTTTGTGCCTTGGCTCCGAAGCGGACCGCTTGCTGTCAATTTGCAATTTGATTTTGGTGGGGGACACATTGTGGGTTCTGCGCAATGTGGTGAGGTTCTAGGCTCGTTGACTTGAACAACGGAGGGCACAGGGCTTCCTTTGCGGCCATGCAGTATCCCGACACACCAGAACTGTGAAACAGATGCCACACCTTTCAGTTGACCGGTGCTCTGCTGCGGCTTTCTCAACCCAGTCATGAAAGCAGCTGCCCGGCGTAACTACTTTCTGCCAGCGGAAGAGTTGAAGGGTCGGCACGTCCAGGTAACTCGTTAAACTTTGCATCCATCGGTGTGAAAGGGGGTACAAACTCAGAACAGGCCCGTAGAAACTCATCGGCACCGGAACCCTTCCTCGACCTTCTGGATTGCAGGTTTGAATTTCTCAGAGCTGACTCTCGGCTGCAATGACCTGCTTGGCTAGTCCCAGCTCGGCTGGTTTTATTTTTAGGGCTTCGATTGTGTTCCAGATACCAAGGAAGAGAGCGGCCGAGTTCATGACCAGCATTGCAGACGATGAAGTAAATGAAACGGCCTCCCGGCAACGTTTGGCTTCCAGTTCTTCGGTGCAAAGGCACCTGGTGCCTCTGGACATACCGGGTGCATCTTCAGAAGTGAGAGATGCACACATCAAGACAGGAATTGCTGTGAAGGTGGCGTCGACAGACCAAGCCCCGTAATCCATGTGTTGCGGGCTGCTAGAACAAGCCGGGCCTAAGCACAGACTCTCAGACTTCCCAAACCTTATAAATAAGTAAAATGTTGCGCAATGCCATATAAAATTTGTAGAATATCGTCTATTAGAGTACGTTTCAGTATATGTTAGGTCCTTTCCGCGGTAGCAGCCAAGGCTCCTGGAACAGTGCAAGGTCCGGAGGCTGATCGCGCTTGGCAGCTGCAGGTTTGCACCAAGTGTCTGAAGAAAAAACCAGGCGGGGATGTGGAGCGTTGGAGTGCTGTGGAATAACGGTTCACAGTGTGAAGCGCAGCCCAAGTCAGGACTCCAACACACTACTGTGCACCGTATAGTGCGCACTAAGAAGGCATGTCGAATCTTAGTGTTGCCGTGCCGGTGGCGCCATGACCGGCCTCAATGCGTCTGCATCCCGCAAGTTTTCAAGGCTGTCGCTCTCAATGGATTTCGTCCGGGCCAGCGGCCATCATAGCCATGTTAAAGCCCGAGGCCAGTGTTTCAACTCCATGTTTCAGCATGTCCCATCCCAAACAAGAAGCAGCAGCGGCACATCTGAGTTCTGTTTCACCCTTCCAGCAATGCGATCTGCAGGGACTGGGGCCTCGCAAGCTTCAAGGTCGAGCTCCACGTCCAATGCCTTCTGGAACCCTTACAATCACCCGAGTGAGACAAGCAGCCGATCCAGCTGTGATGGGGAGGAGTCGAATCATCCCGGGTCCAAGGAGGAAGGGAGAGCGCGCGACGATGAAATCGAAGTGTTGCCTCCACCCGGTGGATTCCTTTGTCCAGATGATGGCTACTTCGAAAGGCGATCGGACGACAGCGATTCGGAAGCTGAGGACCAGGAGCAGCCGGCGCAGAGAGAACCGCAGGTGAACCTATATCCTGCTGAGCTCAATGAGCCCGGTCGTGTGCAGCCCGTGGTCGTGGGGCCATGCAAGGCAGGATACGCAGGAGGGGCGCCTGCAGCGCCTGCGGTCGAGGAGAAGGCACCGGCCATACCATGTACTCCTGGCCGGGTATTTGACATGTCCAGGGAGAAGAAAGCAAGAGTCTGGCAAAAGCCGCTTCCTCCTGGAGCAGTGAAGCCTGAACCGTAAATCTCCGTAAGCTTGCGACCGTCAAGGCCCAAAGCTTCTAGATTTCTCTAGTGTACAGCTCACGACATCTTCCTCCTGACCGCCGTCCATGTAATAGAGGGCGGACGGGGAGGTGGCACGGGCATGCGGCCTGGGAAACGGTGTCTGGTGGCTTGCTGCAGTCAGCGAGAAAGAATCTGCCAGCCTGCACCAGGACGGTGCTTCTACTGACTGGGTGTGATGTGTGTGTGTGCACACCTTGGATGGCGAGGCTTTGACACTCTTGGGAGCTTGAGGGATCTTCAGCTGGCACAGGGAGGAGACTCGAATTTGAGACTTGGCCTGCGTCTTGATGTGCCCGTGGCCCTGAGAAATAAGAGTTTCAGCGAAAAGCATTCACGTGTGCCAGGATCGTGGAGCCCGCGGGCTGCCTGAAGCAATGCAGCATGGCACCAGCATGGCACAGCCGCGTAGTCTTAAATGAGCAGTGCTGTTGGAATGCCGCTTAAGGCAAGCATGGGCCGAATGTGAGGGCAGACGCTCGGTGTGATTTGTACACATCGGAAGCTGCAGACGTGCGGGCCGCCCCTCTTGGAAGGTGAGCCCCGACAACGAGCTCGTCGGCCTTGCAGTGACCGGAATGTTACCAGATGCCGCTTCTGCAGCAGCTGGTACAATGTTGCTAAATTCTTACAGTTTTGTGAAGACCACGGCCGCTCAGCCAGCGCAGGAAGTCGAGGCTCGATGCTTTCGGCACGTGAACGACACCGCTGCGGCGCATAGCCCAGCAGTGATACAATATACTCTCCCTCTGTCTGCAAGTGGAACTTGCATTTACTTCCAGCCCCTGGCTTTGCTGTATTGGTTAGGACCGATGAAGGGAGGGAGGGAGAGAGAGAGAGAGAGAGAGGCAGAGTTGTCCCGGCAAGTCTACGCTCGCTCCTCACTCCCCTTTTCCCAATGAAAGCAGTCGGGTGGGCATTTTTGCCCGAGGGCTTTGATCGGCCCTTATGCCGAGGAGAGAGAGAGAGAGAGAGAGAGAGAGAGAGAGAGAGACAACTCTTCCACCTCCTCTTGCGCCGAGCAAAGCAAAGCAAAGAGAGAGAGTTGTCTAGAGTCTAGGGGGCGCAGTGACATGTACAAACCAGCCGAACCACACCAGCCTGCAATCAGCCCGGTTCTCGTGTTATGTGCTTTGTTGTTGGCCAGAGCCTTACTTGTTTTGGTGTTGCGTTGCAGCAGAGTGTGAGAGAGATCTTTCCTCTTGTGCCCAGCCGAGCCTTCAGGGGGACAAACCTGCGAAGGGACCTATCCGCGCAATGAACCGCGGATGTGTGCGCGTGCGCACGAAGGAGGTAGCCTGGACGCTGCTGCCTTCTTCTGGCCCTGTAGAGAGAGGCAGAGAGACAGAGTCGGAAAAAGATGGCGGAGAGAGATGGAGAGAGAGAGAGAGAAGTTATAGAGAGACAGGCAACGCAACACTAGAAAAAGTATGACGAGGACAGCAAAACGCGGGACAGAAAGTATGGCACGGGTTGGATAGGTTTGTAGGGACATGGCGTCTATCGCACACGATTCACGCACAATGCCTTTGTACATGAGTGCGGGGCTTTTATATATATCTATATATACACATACATATATACAAATATATAAATTTATAAATAAATAAATAAATATATAAATATATAAATATATACATATAGATATAGACATACATATGTATATATAGATACGCGCTTTTTATAACCACACCATGCATTCATACATGCATTCATACATACAGACATACATACATACATACATACATACATGTGTATGTGTATATATATATATAGAGATGTATGTATATATATATATACATTTATTTATGTATTTATTTATGTATATTTATATTTTATACACCTACATACACACATTTACATATACAGATAAATAAATAGAAAGGAATAAAATTTGCATATATATATACATATATGTATATGTGTGTGTGTCTCGAGAGTCTGGAGGGTGTATATATATACATATGTCATCTCACAAGTAGTAATGTTTAGCACAGAAAGTGGGATTAATTACACTGGTCTGAATGATTTTGCATCTCGGCAACTTCGTTGCCTGCTGAGGCACAGCGAGTTTTCAACTCCGTCCGCCAGGCCTTGATGCTGAAATCAGGCCGCCTCGTGTTTGGTCCCGGGTTATGCTCTCCCTGCTCGGCAACATCCCAGACAGAGTGACAACTTGTTGGATGTATATGGTTCTGACCGTCAGAGCTTATTTTAAGCGCTTCACGTCGTCCGCCTCGGCCCAGCTGTACGAAGCACGTGCATTGTTTCGGAGAGCAACGGGTAGGTCACACAAGTGAGGTCTTGAGTGAATGAGCGCATTGGCTTCAGAGTTTGTTTTAATGTCTATATTTTTTCATTCTGACGCTCTGAGCAATAGTCCCACGCGCGAAAGGTGGCACATCCCCTGCACTATCCATAGACGTTACTATAATAATCGTATCACACATCATTGCGGCCGTGCTGGGCGACTGCACTCCGAGTACTCGCTGATACGCTCGAGCACGCTCGAGTATGCTCGAGTACGCTGGAGTATGCTCGAGTATGCCTCTGCACGCTCGAGTATGCTCCAGTACTCCCGAGCACCACTAATACGACTAAAGCTTTGCAGCTATCAGAAGACATAGACTTAGTATCTACTACCATAAAGCAACAACATGTAGGATATATGTTATGCAACATTGTAGGGTGTACTACATATAAACTAAGTAAGTTATGGTCTATAATGGAAATATGAAACTATGGCAATATCGATACTATAATGTAACTTTTCATCTATACCGTCCTTGATACAAAGTATGATACAATACATAACACAAAGTACATAGCATATGATATGCTATACTACATATTGGTTGTATTCTATAATATCTAAATTCTACTATACCATATACATTATAGAACAGTGCATATATTAATATAACATAGTACAATGTGACATAGTAAATGTAGAATTCACAGCATGCAGTGTATCCAGTATTTAAGTATTTAACACTTTTGCCAAGAAGTTCAGAATATATAGCAGATAATGGGCAACGTGTAATATATAATCTGTAGTTTATATAGATCATGCACTTTCATTTAACATGTAATTTCTAATGCATACCATACAATGTACAGTAATATATACCACGCAACTTTGTTTTATAATGAATGACATTAAAACTTATAACTTACAAAGTATAGCCTTAAAATGAATTACACTGTGTTATTACACTGTGTTATAAAATATTTAGGGTATGTATTATACAAACAAGCATATAGTGTATATAGATGTATGCTATACATGTTTTAATAATCGTGTATCTGTCATATGTGGATAGCATGTTACATTGTATGTGCTCCCTGGTATAAAATTCACAGACACGGCAGGGACAAAAAATGATATATATATATACATACATGCATACATACATACATACGTTCGTACATACATACGTTCGTACGTACATACATACATACATACATACATACATACTAACATAACATAACATAACATAACATAACATAACATAACATAACATAACATAACATACATATAACAACTTCCTATATATCATGTACATTTTATTTTCTATTATGTAGTACAAAATACCACACATGATGTATCTTAAATAGTATACATAGAATGAAACATACATCAACTGTGAGCATACTCGGTGCATACTCGCGCATACCCGCCGCGCATACCCGGCATACTCGGGCATACTCGCGCATATCCGCTCATTCTCGCGCACGCCCTGTTCTATCTAAGCCCCCTACCGACAGTCGCGCTTTCCCGTCACAGTGTCACACTTCTCACTGGTCTCGTAAACAAAATCTCAATTTGTTGGAAGGGGAATCAAGCTTTGCCGCGAAGTACAAGACACAGCCCCCGAATTCCCAGGCTTTGGCATCAGCTTCACGAATGATGTAAGCTAGCCCGTCTTGCCTTGCCGCAAGGAAGAGACGAGGGACAGCTAAGCGGGGCGTGGGTCATGGGGGAGGGGATTAAGAGGCGGGGAGACAGGGAATTCCTGTGGGAATCTCTGACCGCTTCGGCCGGGGCCGAGGCGAACCTTTTACTTTTTATCGTTGTTACTTACGCTCTTGATGTTTTTAGATAGCTGGCGGCAAGTGATCGGGCCATTGCTAGGCGGCTCGTCCAGCCCGGATCGCGACAAAGGACCGAGTTCGACTTTGAATCATGGGCGGTTGCCGGGCTCGAGCTCTTCTTGCACAAGCCCGTCCGCGCGTCAACAAAAGCATTGCCCAAAGACTAGGTATTCGAGTATTGTTGGCCAATGTGACCTGTAGTGACGCTTGAAGCCCCCCACCTGAAACGGCACACCTTGAATCAGCCGCGCCTGGAGCTGCCTTGCACTGATTTTCCTCGAGCTTTTTGCAAAAGGAGCGCAGCCGAAGCTGGATGCGACCATGGGCCCCATGGGGAGCTCCACCAAGGACCCGTGCTGGACGGCCGAACAGTCTCCGTCATCAGCCCAAACGGCAGATGACTTTCCGAAACAGCTTCCCACGAGAATCACGAGAGAATGCTTCACCCCTTGCCTTTTGCCGAAGGAGAAGCAGAGAAGAGGCCGAGTCCGAAAGTCGCTGGAGAATCGACTGACCAACATCCTGGAGGGCTTACCGGTGCCTGGGGAAGCAATGCAGGGATCCAGGTGTTTGCAAAGCAGGCATCTGCCCTTTGAGCTGAGTAGCTTCGATGCAGATGCCCATTGCCTGGACAAGGTTCGATTTTCTGGCGAAGACCTTCTTTGAAGCCTGCTGTGGCAAAGCTGTAGAATAGCCGCTGCAGACAGAAACCGTGCCAGTTTCGGAATGTCAAGCCCGTTTCCTGTACATAGACCCAGCCTGTTGATTACTGCCAAAGAGAATATTTGCAGGTAATCGCCATGGTGATGTAGGCCGCTGGCACTACAGTGCTGCACAGACCCCGACATTAGGAAAACTGCTCGAGTGCGTGCCTGCTACTGTACTTCACTGCCCGCGCACTGGCTTCCCTCCATCACACTCAGCCTTCCGACTTCGGCCAGGCCGGCTTGGAATGCCAGCCAGCCTGGCGCCGGGGCCCAAGAGAAGCATCCGCCTCCCACTGTTCAGCTGTTCCCAAGAGACCGCTGAAGGTCGCGATGCCATCGGGGTGCCAGCCTGAGGATGCCGGCTGCAGCTTTGGCTTGGGTTAGACATCTTGCTTCTCTCATGCTCCTCTCTTTTTTCCCTGTCGAAGCCCCAGGCCATTTCGCTTGCCCTTCGCGCTGTGGCTGCGGGACGGGCGAACACTGCTCATGCTTCTGACCTGCGCTGCATGTACTTCTTTGTGGGGAGGTTTCTCGCCGGTACGACGTGCCCATGTTCTGACACTTTCTTTGCTTGCCTGGGCTTGATGCAATATATTCGGCAAGCCGTGCCTGCGTAGACAACATCTGCTTGGAACGTAGCAGGGGGAAAGGGTCGTCAAAAAACACGCTGCCCGAACGCTGTCATTGGATCCGGCCCTCTGTTTCGACAATCATGTCATTCCTTCGTTCGGTGCCTTGCGTCCTCAGTCAGCACCATGATGCAGTCGTACAGTGATGATAACGCTCGTGCTTGGCCACACCCATTGCATACGTCATCCATCAATCATCGATCCGTCCTGAGCATGCAGGTGTGCGGGGGGCCATGTGGCAAGTCAAAGCTGCAGTCGCAGTCCCAAAGACTCGAGACTCCAAGACATCAGCATGGGCTTCCACATGGCTCCCGATCCCGCAAGACCGCGACAGAGGAGGTCAAATAAGCATGACTTCCCGAGGCAGCAAACACCACGGTTTTGAGCTTTGTGCTTGATCTTCGTTTTTGCCACAGCAGACTTGAAGCCAGGAGGTGACATGTTCTTGCAGCTTCCGAGCTTGCTGACCCGCTTCACTGCGGGGGCTTTCTGGCTGAGTTTAAACATCCTTGCACTGGCATGTTGCAGGTGATCGTAAAGAAATTCTCTGCGAGGAATATAGTGAGGCCATGTCGGAAGTGAGCGCTGCCAGGTGGTCGCTCTGCTGTCTGTCAACTTCCGCTGGGTTGCGCTTGCGCACGAGACGGTTGGGGGCTGATGTGACGAGGGCTCTCATGTGCCTATAGAGAAAGACAGAGCGAGAGAGAGAGAGAGAGAGAGAGAGAGAGAGAGAGAGTGCAAGCGCGCGAGGGGGCGTGCCTCTTTGGCTGTGCAGAAGAAGAAGAATAAGAAAGTATAAGCACGATCTTGAAGAAGAGGAGAGCTTGATGCGGTTTGGACGTGCTAAGATCAGCTCCGCACATGGCTGCGTCTGGCTGATGTGCAACTCGCACGCCTCAGACTTAGCGCAGCGGAACGTGCCGTCGAGGCTTCTGATCGTGGTCGTTTAGGAGCCCGACCTTTTCCGAAACTGCCTGGCATTTGCAGATTTTGTCAAACTTCTCCATGTCTGAACAGCAGCCACTGCCACCCCCACTGTTGCCGCCAAAAGCAAACAAAGAGTGGCACCAGCAGCGGGAGGAGCAGCAGCAACCCCAGAATGAAGCATACGGAAGTTCATCAATGTCAGTTGTCCGCCCAGTTGCACAACGCAGGCTTGAGCATACTCTGCCATGTGTTTGGTGAGAGTATATAGCCAGCTTTGGTGCCCTGAGGGATTCACCGGGTTCACTTGATCGTAAAGATGGTTTGTTTGTTGTTTGCATCTCTTCTTCGCTTTTTGTGCATGCAGTGTATGTCCGTGTCTATGTAGGTATACTAGTATGTCTGTGTATATATATATATATGTGTACATGTATGCGCGTGCATGTGTGTATGTGTGTTGGCATACATACATGCATGATGGTATACACTGCGCTATGCAATCGATGTCAGACGAACCTTTCAGCGGGCTCAGGTTGCGGGCAGCAAAGGCCCATCTCTTGCGGCTTTGATGTCTGTAGGCGCAACGTCGGTGACTTAACCAGGGGCACGCGCCACCGAGACGCTGCTGGCGCATGTGTGGCCAGGCTCCAAGAAGCAGAACGCTTCTCGATGCTTCCTAGATAAGCCGACGAAAACCCCCAAAAATATGACAGTCTTGTCGGCTGCTAAGCACACCTAGGTCCAAGCTGCGAGACTTACCTGAGGGAACATCCGTGGCTCAGGCCTCCCACCTTTCTAGGTTTGGGAAGTGTTGTGTATAATGCTCCGCGTGTCAGGCTCCGCAGGCTTTTCTGTTGCTAAGTGCGGGGCTCCGGCAGGTTTTGCCCGAGAGTGTCCTTTCTCGTGATGCTGACGGGCTGTGGAGGCTGCCGCTCGAAGCAAGAGTCATCGAAAGATTGATTCAGGGTCCGTGAAGGAAGGGAGCGACATTTGTGATCTGATCAGTGGATCAAACGCCTTCGGAGCAATTCCGAGGCGGACTTGGCTCGCAGAGCTTCACACTGGTAGTGTGCAGATGTGTGCAGCGTGGGCATGAACGCCTCGGCACGGAATGAACAGCCAGATACATCACCAGCTTCAACAATGCCGTGCTGGATGCAGAGCTGGCCAGCTCAGCCCTGCCAAGCACTCGGCCCCTGCATCTGTCCTTGTGTGCGAAGCCAACACTGCTGTGCAAAAACTTGATGTGTCATGGTTCAGTCGTTCTTTACGCTTGCACGCGGAAAAAGTCTGCGCAAACAGGCACTGGAAGCTTGATCAAGAAAACTATAGTGTTATTCCCGCTCAAGGTCCCAGACCGCTGACGCGGATGAAAATGGAGACTCTGATTCAGGCTTTACCCTTCGCGGCGAAGTTTGCCTCAGCTTCGCCTTGGGTTGAGATGTCTATTGGCAAAGGCCAATATCTCGCGTGGCTGACCCGGCTTGGCCTAAAGCCTCGGCCTCAGCGTCAGCTGCCCGGTATTGCAGCTACATTACATATTATGTGTTCTAGTTACGTATAACCCCGCTGCAGGCTTTGTTGGCTCAAGGGTGGGGCGAGTGATTAAGCCGCCACGGCGTGAGAAGGGTCGAGGAGACATCAGTGGAGACACTCCATCATCCCCATCATTGGGCTTTCGGCATTCGCAGGTGCAAGGTAGGTCCGCCAGCAAAAGATGTAGCGACTCGCACGCAGAGTCGAAACAGCGATCGCAGCAGCAGTGATACGCGATTCTGCACGCAGGAGTTGCAGGCATGCAGCCCGTGACGCCAGCGGCAAGATTGGTCCATGCCACTGAGCCTGCATCCGACCTCACAGGCTACTGTATAGGCTGTATGGCATTGTATGGTGGTACAGCATTGATTGCAGATATGAAGGGGAAGGGCTTGCAGTGCGTCGCCGAGGTGGGGGAGGCGGTGCAGCGAGCACAGAGCTCACCAATGGTGGAAGCCCTCCCAACGCCAACACCGTCCTGGCTTGCCGGATATGGCCACCAGCCACTGGCTTTGGGACTGATAGGCATGGTATGACATGACTCATGTCTTGACGGGATGTGCAGGCAAGAGCTCAGCTGTAGGAAGTTGTGACAAATTTGCACATCCGTCACATACCCTCGAGTGAGACGCGGTTCGAGCACTCTTCCCAGTCCACGCAGAGACGAATCAGAAGACTTCCCCGGCTGCACCGTGACATCCAAAATGTCCTGGCCACATCAGGCCACATCGCGAAATTCGATCCTAACGGATACACGGAAAGGGTATAGCCTGCAAACACGGGCTTTGAAGATGTCGAGCGACATCGGCAGCACTGCAGGTGGCATTGCCTTGGCGCCTGGCTGGGCCCAGCGGCGGCCGCGCGCGCGGAGGGCGCCGATGGTGTCGCGGCCAAGTCTTCCGATCTGCCACTATTTAAGCAGTATTCACCAAAACTCGCATCGCCATATTCACCTTACCGACGGCATTTAGAACCCCACTCACACCAGCCATTCGGTACCATCACAACCGCCATGACGTTCACGGCAAGGCAGCCTGGTGGCTCGACAGAGTGGGAGTGTCGTCGCGAAGCTCGTTACAACAGTGCCAAGGTCAAGGTCCCATTGGCCGCAGACCCCAAGGAGGACGTTTGCAAAGTCATTCTGCTATGACATGGGTTTACACGGCCAACTTCCTCACCCTCAACACAGCAAGCCATGAAATTGAAGTCTGGCTGACCGGCAATCGTAAGTCTTCTCACTGAATGAAGGCATCCCTATGTGTGTATGCAGTAGCAGGCAGCGGTGCCAGTCACTGGGAGGAATCCAGCAGCGAAGAAGTTGCCCCCAAGTCCGGCGATGCCGCCCGCGTCGCTTTAGTGGCAACTCGGCACAGAAGCAACGCGCAACAGCAAGCTGATTGGCCTTGGCTGATGGAGCTCAAAAATGCAATGGCTCCACCATACCCGAAAACTCGACAATCAACTCCTCCGTGCCCGTCAAGGAGCCGAGGGATTTGCAGTCTTGGTTATGCGCATTCACATCACAGAAGAGGTGATGGAGCAAACCTTGCGCTGGCTCACACACAACGGAGCTTGCACTCTAAGGTGCAGCGCCTCAACGCTGCTGAAACCACGCTGAGGCGCTGGGGCTACGTGGCCTCTTGATGACAATCAGAGAGCAACCAGGAGATACACACTCGCAGCAATTTCAGTGCTGATAATAGCTGGTTGCCATTGGGACAGTCGAATCAGCAGTAGAGCAGATCAGAACTTCGGTTCGGACCGGTTCAGCAGAAGCAGGGTAGTGCAATGGTGCTGCATGGTACGGCTAGCCTCTCTTAAGACCACGTGTGTGACATTGAGGCCGAGATCGTCTACACCTGGCTTGGATTGATCTCACTTTCCGTTGCAAGCTTTGCTGCTTATTCCCAAGGAGGCGTCGTGGACGGTGAGGTTTTTTGACGCTCCAGATTGCTTTGATGGAAGATGAATTGTGTCTGTCCCTCAAAGCCGCCTGCCTCCCCTGAACTCTGAGCTGTGAGGCCTTCGAGCGTTTCAGAGCTCCATGGGCCTCGGGCTGACGTCAGTGGGCCTCTCCGTTGTTGCTTGGACGGAGTTCTCTCCGAAATCTGCGCACGAACTATCTGCGGCTGCACCTTCTCCGTTGCGCTGCCTTTCTGTTTTCTGTCTGTCCATCTCTCCTCTCGTGCTCTCGCTCTCTCTCTCTCTCTCTGTAGCTTTGTCCGTCTTTTGGAGTCTGTCTCTAACTTTCTTGCAGACTTCAGCTTCCGTGATCGACTTTCACGCATCGGAACCCGAGAAGACTGACCGAAAACCCAGAGCACGCGAACGGGTTCAAGCAGCAGCCGTGGAGCTTGCAGAGGTTTGCTCCCTGATCGGCTGGTTCCAGGCCCGCAGCTGCAGGCACGGTATTCCTCATCAGTAGTTTCTATTATAATTATTCTTGAGTGTTGTTAATTATTATTAGTTTCTTAGTTATCATTAATTATTGTTAATTGCTACTTCTTATTAAAACTATTATTCATTCTGTGCGAAGATGTGGGGAGATCCCGAGGCTGTATACACCCACAGAGAAGCAGAGTGAATGGGGCCCGGCCCCCCAGGGCTCCTTGGCCTTGGCCTTGACCCCTGGCAGGACCTTAGGGCGCCGCTGCGGCTTGGCGGCGGGATCTTTGGAGCCGAATGGGCCCGTGGCCTTGGCAGAAGTTTGTGTTTTTCTGTAGAAAAAGGGAGGGCTGGAGTTGGGCTATTGTAGCTTCTTCGGAGCGGAGTAGTCAGGGCTTGAGGCTTCGTCTCAGGGGCACACTGCCAAGCTTCGGTTAGATGCATCTTTCCTTTCTGCAGTGGAAGCGTTCGAAGCTTCACCCGCTTTGGGCCGGCAACCCGTGGCCTGGTTCAGCCTTGTGGCTGTGAAGCTCAGGTGCCACCTGCAGCCCAAATGGCTGCAACGCTGCCCGGCTGAAGAGTTGCAGCCGTGCATTAAAGATCTCGCCCAAGCAGGGTCTGCAAGCCGTCCAGGTCCAGGCGCCGTCTCGTCTTGAAAAAGTCGCCTAACTGGCCTGCGTGCGCAGGTTGCCCTCGCTGGTTGCTATTGAGACGACGCTGCGAGCACGCCAGCGGACGGCATGGCTGGGTGCCTTTTTTGCCGTGGTCGGCCTGCAGACCATGGTGGGCCTCATGGTGGGGAAGGCGCACCAGACGGAGCAGAGACAAATTCACCGGAAGGAACTGCCACAGATTTTGCATTTGTTCACTTCGATTTGCTCAAGGTGCTGGCAACATCTGGAGGCTTCTCACAATCCCCAGGCGCGGTGGGTTTGATTTTATCCCGAAGACTCAACGGGGGAGAAAGTCAAGCTCGATCGGGAATTGTTGCAGAATGCCGTTTCTGCACTCAGATCTCCAGGTAAAGCACTTGCTACCAGTAGCAAATCAGTCGAGGTGAAGGGCGTTCAAGCGCCGTGTGCTTTCTTGTTCAATCCTTGCGCCTGTTGAGACAGCGCCTCCTGCGTTTCAGGCATCAACCTGGACGTCTTCACTTTGCTGGCCGTGTCAAACTCGGCACTGGGCCACGTCCTGGCCGGAGGGCTGGCTGCGCTTCAGCAAGGCCGGACCGTGACCTGGGGTTTTCTTCAGGACTCTATAAATTAGGGTTTTGGGTTTAGGGGTATAAAAACCCCTCACTTCTTCGGGGCCCTTTCTGACATGATGTAGTACTTACCTTCGGCCTCTTCCGGATCCGCCAAGTTTCTAGTGGTTCCAGACGGCTTTGGCAATCTCGCCTCTTGCCCATCTTTTTGGACACTCCACCGCGTGGCTCGGTGGAGCAGGCTCAGATCCTCGCATAGCCTTTGCCTTGCTGACTAAAAGTGTTGAGAGCCCTCCCAGCTTCAATTTCGAGCATTGTGGAACTCGAGAATCAGAAAAAAAGGCCTCCTATTCGCGAGGATCTCTGCCACAGCCGTCCAACTCCGATGATCCCTTCCAGGGGTGGAGCCGATGAGGCAAGGACTGCTTTGCGCCTTCCTTGGCCATGCAATGGCTTCTCATTCGCATACATGGGCATCATGTTTGCCTCCTTGCGTTCTATCGCTAACTGCGGCCGGGCGCACTGTGCAGGACTTGTGCTGACCGAAGGGAAAGCGTTGTATATAACTTAAGGAAGCCAGCCACACTGCTACACCGTTTTCCAGATGTGGAGCTGTGCCCGTTCAATCCCATCCGCGCAGCGGCTGGAGTTCTAACATTCTAACCCTGCTGGTGTTGTGGTGTAGTGGTCCCTATACTGGCCGATACCGCGCTGAGCAAGCCCCGTGCTGTACCTCTACAGTACTTGCTCAATGCTAACCTGTGAATCGGTTCTGCTTAAGCCTTTGATGCTTTACTGCTTGGGCTGTACTCGCATTGATGGAAGCAGAGAGTTAGTTCGGCCAGTGTCTACACAAAAGCTGGATCTCACCAGCATCGTGGTGTTCTTGGCGACACAATGGCCATTTCGATTTAGGAAGCGCTGCAACAGTCAGTGCCGGTCATGTAAGGCGACGCAGTATCCTCCAAAATTTGTGCCTGGGTGGACAGCAGGGCAGAATTCGGTTGGAGGAGCTCACCGTTCTCGCAATATGAATGGGCCCAAAGACTCACAACCCTGTGGCGAGCCTAGTCAAAGTCAAGTCGGAAGCCATACTGTCCTTTTGTCCTTTTTCTCGGTGATGAAGGTGCTGATACAATGTTCACAACTTGACTGTCAAGACTTGACTACTCACAATTCGTAAGTGGATGATGCCACCCGGAGACACCCGACTGCACCAGATCCTGCGAAGTTAGCTGACGAGTTTCGAGAACATCTACCATAAGCATGCTGCGCGGGCTCTCTCCCATCATGGTGGCTCCGTCGCTGGCGATGTACGAGAGCCCGCTGCGCTATTACTTGATTGTGGAAGCTTCGGAGCTTTTAGCATCCATGTGCCAGCAATGCTGTTTCAACTGCCGCTCTGCCGCTGGAAGGGATGTCCTTGGCGCGAGTCCCTTTTGTCGGATTCCTAGGATGCTGATGCGGACATCCGAGATTTGGAAGTGGGCGACCTTAGCGACATGGAATCTGACGTGTCGTGACTCATGTCTAGAATAGCAGCTGCCTGCACATGGGAGCAAGAATGTTGCACGCTCAGCACAAAGAAAAGCACGACTTGCACACTTTGCCCTTGCCACCATCGAAGGTACCGGTTGGCTTCCTGGAGCATTTGCGGGATGAGCGCGACATTTGTCCCAGCACTGGTTCTCTAGGTCGTTTCACGGACGTGACTGAACGGATTCAAAAGAATAGGTTTCCGAAGTCGCAGTAGGAGGGCGGTTTCCTTTCCGATGTTGAGACTCAGGAGCGCAGGACTCGACCCTCGCTGTCGCCAGAGGAGTTTGAGAGTAAGCCGGAAGCCTTTTCGACGTCAGCTGGAGCCGCATCCATGTCGAAGCTCAGCCGAACCAGAAGGCGCTGGAGGTGTTCTTTGGGTATCTTAGCAGTCCTTTGAACTTCTGACTTGGCCGCTCGCCGTGCCTACTTAGGTTTGCCACAATGACTCTGGACCCATGGCTGGGCACTTCAGCATTGCATGGTCAATGTTCCAGAAGCCGTGCGGTCTCTGAGCTCTGTGGTCGTACTACAGCAAGGACTGGACACAGAAGCAAGGCAGCTTGGAATCCAAGAGTCCAGCTCTGGGCATCGAGATCTACAGATTTTTCCATCCGCCGAGGCAGGGTTGGAACGGATCGGCTGGCGAGGCTTTGGGCCACGATGCTCGAAACCGCTGGCCTCACAGCCGAAATTTTCGCGGCGCCACCCCGAGATCTTTGATCTACAGGGTCTCCATGAGAAAATGCCAAAACTCTGAAGGACAACCTGGTGTTTCGTCAATTGATTTAGGTCGATCCTGGGCAGATCGTCTTTGCAACTCACAGGAGCGGGTCTTGATCGCGAGAACCTGCAACTCGAATGGGGGCAGTCAGCGATCAATCTAGATCGTGTCTGACAGGACTGAGGAGGTGAACACCCTTGAGAGGACTCTTGTCTGCAACCTCGGCTTCACCCTATGTCTGGTCATGCCACACAGGAGCTTCAACACAAGCAGCGCGAGCCTGCGAGCCGAAATCAAAGCCCGTTCTGTCCAGGTTCGTGCTCGCGCAAGACGGTGTGGACTTCTTCGAGTCCAATCAGCAGTCCCTTGGCTCGGATCTCTTGAATTTGTTGCTTGAATGCTCCGCTTTTCAACCTGCAAGCCGCTGCAAGCCAAGTCCTCTCCCTCACAAGGTGACAGCTTGGTGCGCCAGGGCTGTCCAAGTGCAAGGGCCGTATAATCCTCAATGATCCCCACTGCATAAACTCAAAGTTGTTCGAACCCCATTCGGCGCAGGCCAAACGAACGTGGTTGAAGCAAAAAGATGCAGCCAGAAGGAATATATGCCCCTCCAGACCAGGCGCCGCTTTCCGGGCAGCCGGAGAGCGCCCTTGAGCACGGACGCCGCTCGGCAATTGTTTGCAGTGGGCACAAAGGCACCCTGGATGCTTTGGTGGCGCCGTGCTCTTGAATTTCTTGCAAGGCTTCGGGGCTAGCTGGTCTGTAGCGCATGACACGCAGTTGGGAACGACGGTCTGTCAATTGCGAAGTTTCCGTCCAACTCAATTCATGCCGGTTGTCGAGCCCAGGACTCATCAGCAGGGGCTTGTCTTGGATGTTCTGGGGACGACTCGTAGCCTGCAGCTTTGACATGCGGTATGCTTTGAGGTGGAGAGGCAGCGACTGAGCATGGCAGCTCGATGGCAGTCTGACCGGATGCGATACTTAGTAGTGCTCGTTCAAATTTCAAGTGTTAGAGATCAATCAAGGACCAGGAGCACAAGAGCTTTTGCTGCTACCGCTGCTGCTGCTGCTGCTGCTGATGCTACAACATGCTACGCCACCGCCACCAGTGGTGCCACTACGTACTCTCCCATAGTAATGGGCAATTAGAAACGGTACTACTGCCGCTGCTGCTGCTTCGGCCGCACTACACCACCACCACCACCACCACCACCACCACCACGACTGCTGCTGCTGCTGCTGCTGCCACCACCACCACCACTGCTACTACTTACTACAATCATCACTACGACTCCTGCTGCTGCCGCGGCTACTACGACTACGACCACTACTAATCTACTACTACCACGACTGATTACTATTCACTTCTAGTGCTGCTGCTGCTACTACTACGACGACTGTTACTACTACGACTACTGCTGCTACTACTCCTGCTACTCTGACTACTTTCACCACCACCACCACCACCACCACCACCACGAAATCCATCACCACCATGCTACCACTCCCGGTAGCGCCGCTTCTTCTGCTTCTGCTAGTACTACTGCTGCTTCTACTCTTCTGCTTTTACCAGTACTGCTGCTGCTTCTATCACTACTACGTAGCCATAGCACGGAGATAGCTAGAGAATGGCTGCAGGGAAATAGTTGAATACTTTCGGCGCAGGTTTTGCAGCGTGTTATTGACAAATCGGCATGTATCCTTAAACCAAAGAACAGCCATCAGCTCTCCGCCCATGAGATTCCACAAGAGGGGACGCATTAGCCTCATGTCGCACATGCACGTAATGTGGCCATCACAGATTCATATTGATATTCCTGTGAGAGCAAGGAGCGACCAGCGGCGGTGCAGCTTGATGGCACATACCAGTGGTGCTGAAAGGGTCGGTGATCCCGCAAAAACCGGCAAGTCGTAGTTTCCTTGTTTCTGTGACGTTTCAGGCCTCCGCGCAAGCCTGCTCACGGCAAAGGCTTCAATGGATCAAAAGAGACACTGCATGCATCCCGCAAGTGCCCCTCAGAATAGGATGTGCTCTGCCATCCGGGAATGAGCTGCGTGACTTCCGGCTGGGCTTCAATGCTGGGATATTTTGTTTTTTCCACTTTCGGAGTCCGTCGAGGCCGTATCTCTACTGGGGCCCCCAGCACCGAGAGATCGTCACGGGCTGAGAGTCGAAGGTGCTCTACTGAGCCGTGACGGCTGCACATGCAGCCGGTCAGTGTGCAGACCAGCAAGGTGGGCGTTTATTTCGGGACGCCAGCTGCTCAGTTGATTTTCGGCATGTCATGTCTCAGTTCGGACAGGCCAGATGGTGCCAAGGTTTGACCCGCTGCACGAGAATCACTTCCGATTGGTGCTGTGTGCATCAACCCCGGTTGCAATATGGTGATCGTTGGCTTTGCTACTCTAAGACTTGGCATCAGTATGGTTCGTGTTGTGTAGGCTCATGACAGGAGAGCGTGGGTCAGCTCGTTTTGCCAGGCTTTGAGACGATGTGGGGCTCGTCGTGTGGTGTTCTGTCCCCAGCTGAATCCACAAGATGGTTCACACGATGCATGGGAAGTGTTAGTGACTGTTAGTGAGTCTCACAAGCATGACTGTCATCCTTGGAACTGTTGTCAGTGTCATGAACTATCACCTCTCTGGCTTTCTGGCTTTTCATGAAATATGCTCACGACATCGTCACCGTAGTCGTATCGGACGGCAGATTCGGGGTAGTATTCGGGGTGGTCGCCGTCTATGCATGCTTTGAGCATGGTCGTCGCCTGCCGACGGCTGTTGCTGGGAAACTGGTAGCATACCACGATTCAAGTCCCTACTGGTATGATCTGGCATGCATCATCTGGGTTGCCTCATGGCAGACGTCTCTTTCAATTAGCCAGCTGTTGTCCGAATCATTCCGCTTGGCAGTGGCGATCCCAAAGTGGCATGATAGATAAGTGGTTGCCAGTCCGAGACTCCACCGGTGCCATTCGGAAACTCCCGGTTCGCGTCGTTCCTCCACAGAACGGTCTTAATGGCACAATTCCGCATACGAGCGCATTCCGCGACAATCCAGTAAATGTGTCGAATCAAGCGGTGGGAGAAGAAGATATCAGTATTCTTCGTCACATCAACGGTTACCGGGGCCACCGATACAGTGCTGGACGGCGTGATCTTCTAGCGCCATGGCCTCCGACACAAAATGGCTCCTGCTTAGTCTACGCACCTGATATCATGTGCCAGAGCTCGACGAACAGGGTAAGGTAAGATATTTTGATCACCTTGGAGATGTCAGAAGAAGTCGCTGAAGGCTCCACGTTCACGAGGCCTGCTAACTCACCGAGAATGACCGAGGCTTGTACCGAATCAGGGAGGTTGGGTCCTCAGGAATTCATTTGCAGGTTTCCTGGTTTCTTCCGAACTCCTACTAGTATGAATTCCAGAAATTAGCTGGCGGATGAGAGGCAATCCGTACAAACCGAGCTGCTCGCCGCTCGTGGAACGCATTCGCTGCATCGAGGCGGCTCAGATACCCAGCCGTTAGCTTTCCAGTGAAGCAGTCGCCACCCTGACACCAGCTCTCCATCGCCAGGAGCGACTGAAGGCAGCAGAAGCCGCACATGACATCGAGCCAGGACCTCCTACCGAAGGAGTCAGCACCTGGTCTGCGGATGGCGGGCACGCCTTGACAGGAGAGGTGCTGGTGCGAGCAGAGGCCGGCGCAAACAACTGGCCCCAGCGCCACTCGGATGGACCTCTCAGGCTGTTCGAGTCCACCTCCTGGAGCTGCCACGTGAGCTGTTTTCAAGATCAAAGATGGACTTGTTCGCTTTGAGGCGAGAAAGTGGCGCAGGCTTTGGAGCTGCATGAGCTGGCCAACAGCAGAGCTCGAGCCCTGGAGCAAGCACCACAGGGTGGCAGATTAACACGCCGAAGTGGGCAAACAAGAAGCTGACATACCTCAAAAATCTAAAGGCGAGGTTGTACCAGGTCCTTTGGATCAGACATCGGGCCCCGCCCGAGGCGACAGCAAGAGTTGTTCTTCTCTTGGGCGAGGCCTGCCGATAGCAGCCGCTAAATGCTCTGCAAAGCTGTTAAGTTCGCGGGCCCATGTGACACGTTGCGCACGTCGTGTGCTATCATCATCGCTTCTTTTTGCAGTGATGTTACGAGTGTGTAGTCCTGTGTCGCCGTTCGTTTTGGGCCGTTGCTGTGCGAATTGTTTTGATATGTCGTGGTTGCTGCGTCGGCTATGCGATTTGCTCTGCAATGCTGTGGCTTTAAATTTCACCACGTAAGTAGCCAGGTTTGAGGTCTTTTCGAGCTCCGCGCACGTCTTCCGGTCTTCATTGCAGCCTTGGTGCCCCAGCCTTTGCTGGCTTTCCCAAGCTTCTAGCAGGGAGGGGTGCAGAATGTTATGTGATGACCCGCGTGCCGCAAAAGTGCAAGAGAAGGAGGAGCAGCTGAGAAGGCTGGGGCGCATGCCACGCTGCTGTAAATGTGGCCGGGAGGCAAGCCAGGGTTGGCATGAAAGCATTGGCCTGGGAGGAGATGACATTAGTGGGGCGACAATGGGTCTTGCCTATGGAGAGGTCGATGTCTTCTCGTTGCGAGGTTTTGCAAGAACACGACTGTAGCAGTTGCTCGCGGTCGTTGTGCCTGTGCTGTCAGTCCTTTTGTGCCAACAAACGTACTGCGCCCATTTTTGCGTGAAGCCTGTGTGCGCACGTTGTGCATCCCAGTGTCGCTTCAGCAAATGTGCATTTTGTGATGGAGTTCAGTGTGAAACATGCATGAGCCCGTGTTCCAACCTGTCGATGGCCGACATGTCCCACATGCACATGCCTTTTGCGAAGCAGTAAACCGGTCTGCCGCCAGCAAAGGACGAGCCTTGTGTCAGTTCTTCCCCAAAGGCAGCTCTAGGATGCCTCGAGCGAAATAAATGGTTTCAGGTTGCTTCAAAGGTTGCTGTGTATGTTGTGGTGCAGGGCAAATGCAAAAAAAGGCTGTGGTTGATGGGCGTCTGCTTCCAAGACTGCCTAACAACCCACCAGCGGAACCGCGACCTCAGCACCCTCTGCGGGCCCAGTCAAAGACAGCTTTGATACCCCTAACTTCTCACAGCACATGCGGCCGTAGGGGCCACGCGTCCTTTTGCAAGCTTGCAGTGCACGACTGCTTCTGCAACGTCAGGACTCCTTCATGAAGTCATTGAAGCAGGTCCGTAACCCAGAAGCAAAGGAAAAAGCGCACCTTTGCAGTCGTTTCTTGCATCCGAGTTCGTCAACCCCGGGGATCCCTCCTAACCTATGAGTTCTGCGATTTTCCAGCCATGCACATCCGTAGGTTCCTAATTACTTCAATTCAATTAATCCTGTTCTATTCTGCCATATAATATGTGTATAGTAGAAAGATGTAGAGTAGAGAGTATACTGTACATAGTCTTACGGAATGTCATTCGTGATTCTGCCCCAGTATATATGCGTACGTATATAAAAGCGTATAGTTCGGCAGATAAGTAAGTCAGTACTAAACCTGTGTATATGTATATGTATATGTTCTTATCATAGATTTCGTTTGTCTATGTCTATGTGTCCAGATGTATGTATCTATAGGTTTATGCACATACATGCATGTGCACGCATTACACACAGAGGCCTCTGGCAAGCACCGGAACTCCGGCATCTTCCAACTGCAGACGAAGCCGCGCCGACTAATCGTGCCTTGGTTCACCAACTTGTTCAGAAAGCTGAGGCCAGCAATTTCGCCACCGAGCTTCTGTCCGTGATTCTGAGGCCTCTGATATCCTTCCGGGGTTGGAGCTGGGTTTCCGCGAAGGTGTTCCCTCGCGGTGAAGATGAGTCGACAATTCTGCAAATGGTGCCGGAGAAGTTGCGGAGCTGGGTTCAGGTGTGGCCGAGAGCATTGCACGCATTCTGCTTTTCGAGCAGCAAACTCGAGCAAGTCTTCAGCAGGTGGCACCATATCGGGATTTGGTGGAGGGGCTGAGCTCCTCGCAGCCCTCTCCGAGTTTTCTCCTTCTTGGGTTGAGACCACCGCGATGCGTGCTTCTTCTCTTGGTGCCAGGAAGATCCGGAGCATCCTGAAGTCCGGGGGCAAGGCCGGGCACAGGTGTCTCTTCCGGATCCGCAACCGCCACTGGCAAGGCTCCTCCGAGCACAGTGCACCCCGTCGTGTGGAACCGCTTGCTTCAGGCAGGATCTGGCATGTCAGGGAAGAGTCAAGCTGCATCCAGAGCAGGCAGAGAACAACTGGGACGGCCAGGAGGACAGCGGTCGATCGTAGCCACCGCTATGTGCAGCAATGGGTCAGTACAAGCATCAGGCGGAGGAGTAAAGCCGGCAGGTTCGCTTTAATCTGTGCATAGCGGCTTGAATCAGCTTACAAAAGCCCGCTGGACAACTTTCAAGCCACTGAAACGGGAGCTTACCTCATCTCCTTAGCACTTGCGCCCCACCTAACGGTGTGCCGCAGAGGACTGACCCACACCAGGTGACATGTGACTTGCCACCCCAAATTGTTTGTATGCACAGCTGCAGCGGGTCCACTCGGCAAGAGTAGCGGTAGCATCAGCGAGCACTCTAACTATGCATCGACCATGCATGGTGCTTGAAATGATTGCCCAAAGGACTTGGCAGACGACTTCAGCGATGAGCAGGACCAAGCCCGGATTTGTTCGGTAGGCCGCCGGAACATCCGAGCTTCATTTGCAGCTGTTTTGCAGGAGCCAGTTGAGGAAGCAGGCCATCGGACCATGGATCGTGGGTGCTCTGTGCAAGCCAAGCATTGGGTGTACGCGATTTGCATGGAGACGCGCAATAGAAGCCAGGAGAAACAAGAACTATCTTCGAATAAGAATGAGGCGAAGCACACTACCAGTAGTCTCAGCAGTAAAGAAACTCGCCACCGTCACAACGACGACGGCATCACCACTGACAAGAACCACCGGTAGCGGCAGCAGCATCAACAACGACATCAACAGCAAGATCAGCAACAACACAGCAGGGCACTGGTACTGTATTTAGCGGTAGGGGGTTCTAATGGATCATATGCAGGGGTTTCACTGGCTTTTAGAAGGGATTGCAATCGGTTTTGCCAGTGCTGCAATGGGATATAGAAGGGTTGTAGAAGATTCTTAATGGCTTTGTCAGGGCTTTAGAAGGTTTTGATGGAATTTTCAGCGGAGGGTTCTAGATTGTGAATACCATTAAAACTAAAACCCTTCCAAAACAGTTGTAGCCCTTCCAAGACGCATTAACACATTGTAGATGCAATTAAACTAATTAAACTTATCAAAATCCGTTTACAACCAAATACAAGCACTGTCCACCCGCTTCCTAAAACAGTAGTAGAACTAGGCACCCAGAGGCAACAGCAGCAACATGAACAGCAACAGCGCCAACAACATCAGTAGCAGCAACAATAACACCAACAAGAACAACAAGAACAATGACAGCAGCAACAACAACACCAGCAACAACAGCACAACAGCCATGAAACCATGTCGCATACATTGCGAGACCTGGTCTGCGAACGCGGCCTGCCTTATCCGAGAGTGAGTGCCGAAACACCAGCACCAACAGGTAACCGAAATGAAGCAACAACAGCCACCATCATTACAGTTCCATCTTCAGCTGCAGGGTCGACATCAACAGCAAGAAGAGGGACAAGATCAACAGACTGTTCCTTACCGGCATCATAGCAAGACTGGGAGCTTCGAGTGAAATGGCCATCGTTGCAGCAACTGCGTAAACAAGAACGCGGCACTCCTTTATCAGCCATCCGCATAGCTCCATCAGCAGGGAAACGCCGATCACTCATAAGTCCTAAGACTACTTAGGATGCTGTGTTTTGCATGGAGGCAGTGTGTTCCAAGACCCGCGGGCACACTATGATGCTTTGGCGCCGCAGTGTGGCTTCTCAGAGATGGATGGAATTTAAGGTGTCAGGAACGTGTTTATCGCCCGGCGCCTTGTTTCGTTTGGATATAAAGACGAGACATGCCTTGAGGTCTATGCAGCAGCGGCTCCTGTCGCCGACCGTGCGGCTGCGGAACTTTAACTCTTTTGCCAAGGCCCGGTCCTAAGTCCTCGATTCGATGATGCTTTTGATTGCTTAGGGGCACAGATGCGCAGATGCCCCAAGCCCCAATGGATTCTAGAGACTGTTCAGGCGGGTCTTTTGGAGCAGTTTCTGAGCAAGGTGCTCCGGGAGGCCTCAGGGCGGGAAGTGCCCGTGGAGATGGCTCGTCGAAGCTGCGGTCTAGAATTCCTCAACGACTGTCCTGCCTGGCGGTGTGTGCACTTCCCTTGATCAGGTTCGCGGGGAAGATCCGCAGATTTCTGTGCTGGACTTGGGCTGCGGCAGCCCTGCTGCACTAGGCATTGAGGCTCGGTCTCCACCTTGTCCAGCCTCAGATTTCGAAAAGCCCGGTGAACCACAACTTCCTACCATTTCCGGCTCGTCCACCCAAGGCAAGGGCGGAGACGTGAAGAAGCTCGTCAACTCCGGCCAGCGCCTTGGAGCGGAGGAGAAGGACCAAGGAGAAGACGGAATATCGGTTCCATTCCTGGTTCGTCCTGTTTCGATCTTAGGCAGCTGTATAGGCAATCCACAACAGCCATCGAGCGCCACGGTTTCTAGACCGGCGTCCCCGAGATCCGTAGTCAGTCTGCAAAGGCCCTTCCCAGCTTGGACTCCGGATCCGAACTCAACTCTCTCCCACAGTCCCGAGGAGTGACAGTGTATTGTGGCGTGGACGTGTCCTTTAGCTCGCTGGAGGCGAGAACGAGGGCGCAAGAGGGCTTTGTGATTCTTGCGGTTGAGGTGACAAACCGCAAGCAGAAAGTTGACAGAGTTTTGGGGGTGTAGCTTTCATTGGCTTTCTAGCAGGATCGGGGCTTCCCGGCCTCACCCCAGCGCAAGGTCCTGGTTCGGCGTGTGCAGGAGCTCCAGCAGAAGCTTGCAGCCGCTAAGCCTCGCCCTTGCGCCTTGCACGGCAGCACTGCGTATCCATGTGCTAGCACGAGGGTTTCAGCTGTGTGCTGCAGTCACTGCTAAAATCTCCGGCCAGAATGCCACAGCTCAAGTCGGTAGGGAATTCATTGTCGTAGCGTTGCAGAGCTGTCATCATTTGTCCTATGTCCTATGCTAGTTCGAGCCCGATATTAGGCACGGATCCCTCGGCCGTGTTCGAGGGTGTCCACTTGTGGAGGCGGGAGTGATAACTAACGTTTCTTCTTCATTTTTCTGCCGTATGTCTTCCTCCACGGCAGGAAATTTTGTGCCAAGGTTTCCTTGGTCCACGCGGACTGCTGGCAGCAGCGGTTTCTCGGCGGTTGTCAAGATGATCTTGCAGCATCAGAGGATAGAGCCAAAGTGCCAGGCTGGAGCCAGCCTGGGATTGCAGCGCCAGGCAAGAGCTGACAGGGAGAGGCAGCGCTGTTTCACAAAGCCAGTCAGGCATGGGACCGCCCGCTTGGACACAATGGGGAAGACTTGGCTCGCCACTCGTTGCTGGCACTTTACTGTGCAGGGGATGCTTCCCGCAGGTTTCATCTTGTCACTTCGCAGATGGCCGTGGGCCAAGAGTGAGCTGGTTTTGCCTTGGAGGTTCGGAGCAGGAAGCTTGTTGATAATTAAACAGTGTGTCCTGGGAGCTTGAACGCGTCCTTTCCCGCGTTTTCCAGTTGTCCGTCGCAAAGTTGCGTGGCTGCAGCATCAGGACCGAATTTCCGGTCAGCAGAGCTTGCCTGTGTGTTTAAGCCAAGCCATCGAAGAAATCCAGGATACGGAAGTTTTGGAACTGCATTGTTGTTTTGCTTCAGCGTGTTTGCTTCGTGCGTGTGACTGTGGGGGGGGGGGGCGGGACGGTCAGCAAATTGAAGCTCATCCGTGAAGGGTGAGTTTGTGCTGAGGCTTGCCACTACGCGTTCCGAAGTCAGGCAAGCCCACTGTGTGACTGTATGGGCCGGTGTTTTTCGAAAGACATGTTTCTCAAACACTGGAGAAAGGAGGGACGTAGCAACGAAGTAGACTCGACAATGTTGTTGTATCGACAAAGCTTGCCAGGCTTCTGTGGATGTAATGCTGCAGAACGTGGCTGGACGGCACATTATCATCAAGAGGTTGCCAAGTGCCTTAGCAAGCTTGCCGTGCCCGATCTTTCGTGAGAGCCAGGCCTCATCTCGCTTGTGCCGTGGCGGCTATTTTGTGGGAACGGTGCCAAATTCGTCAAGGCTTCTTTGCGCATGATTGATGCACTTTTTAGCAAGTTCTGCATGCAATGGCCAGCCGACTTGGAGTGGTTTCATTGTGTCGTTTGCGTGCAGGATCATTTCGCTCGAGCGCAACCGTGGCGTGGCGAGAGCCTCAAGATGGTATCGCAACAGATGCGAGTCCAAAGGCTTTGCTGTTGGCCAGCCTTGCACGATGTAGTTCGGAAGTCTGCTTGTCAACGAGTTGACAACATATGGCTTGGATTCAAACTACAGGGGAACGATCCTCGCAGCATTGGCAACAGACTTTTCCGGATCGACTTCAGCAAGGAGGCCCCAACAACGGTGTCCAGTGTTTCTTTGCCATGCGAGCCCGAACTTCTGGCAGGAGTGGAAGAAGGTCGAAGCAGCGCCGGACCTGTGGCAGCAAGATGGTGCCTCGGAGGTGGACTCGCGTGCCTTCGGAGTGATGTACACGCAGCTTGCAAGCATTTGCAAGCATTTGCATGCGCCGCTCCGAAGTGTTGGAGACGCTGCCGGGTAAATGACCGGCCAAGGTTTCACTTAGCAGATGCGGTCGAGGCTTGGTTAGCCAGAGTTGGTCGCAAGCAAGCGGAGGTCCAGGTACTGAACATTTCCGATCTCCGATGTCAAATCTCCTGACGAGGCGTGCCCAGAACCGTTGGTGCACTTTCCAAGCTTCATCGCCTTGGCAAAGTCCCACGTGCCGAAGCAGCGGTTAGGCATGTGTGCATGGAAAGATCAGGCTGTTCAGGCATGGTTATCATCTCATGTATTCTAGCGGGGTTGGTGGCTTAATGCTGACTGGCTTAGTTTAATTAGAGTCTAGATCTAGTCTGTCGTGAGATACCAGCAGACCTGCCATCAGGGCTTGCACCTGTGCTTGGGGCCGACGCCGTTGACAGATTTCGTGGATACGGACAACATGAAGGCTCCGCACGGCATGTATCGGGTCCAGCAGATCGCGCTTTTCGAGCGCAGGCAGAACTGGGCCGTTTGCGGCGCATCTACGCCTTTGAAGGCTGGCAGAAGGAAGTCAGTTGGGTGAGTCGGCTGTGCATGAGTTGGTGGAGTGTTGGGTATCTCGAGATCCGAGCTTGCAGGTGGTATGGCTTTGGATACCGATGAGGCCATCCAGAGTCGTTCTGTGCACACGTTCATGGTGGCATCACTGCTCGGATCGTTTCGAATATCAGTGTCTTCACACAACATTTGCCCGTGCAGAGCGCAGGCTTCCGAACAACGAGAAGCTTCTGGCTTGTACGTGGCATTCGCCTTCCGAAAAGAGGCGAGCTCACTCGGTGCTGCGTGGGTATGGGATGTATTTCGAGTTGCGGACTTGCAGACTAGGCAGCCTGGCAGTGCATGGCTAGTGAGCCCTCGTTGTCCCAGGCAGATTCCGGCTTTCCCGGATGTCAAGAAATCTCCGACGGCCATGCGCTCATTAGACAGACACTTGTCACTTGCAATGCGGCAGCCCATGGCCATGGACAACCGCAGGCTTGCAGTCCCTGCGTGGGCCTTCCGCGAAGCTGCCGCAGATTCCAGGCACGCCCCATGGATGTGTCCGTAGTACCAGAATTGTTTGGAAGCCATCTGACAGTGCTTTGCTTGTGGCCTGGAGGTGACATTGTCAGCTGCACGGAGCCAGACCAAAGAAGTTTGCCCGGGCACTGCGACTCGAAAAAGCCTCATGGAGAACGAATGTGGGCAGGGAGCTGTCCTGCCCAAGGCTGTAATTGCCAAGGTTCTTCTTTAAGTGTCCGTTGGCCAGAACAGTGCGGAGCAGCCTATTGAAACATTTCAACATTTTTCAGTTTGAACTGCAACGACTTGTGACATGCATCCTTGTTCTTGAAAGAGTTGAGTGAAAGCTGGGTTTGGGATGCAAGATCAGGTTCATGCCGCTTCGCAGAGGGACTGCTTTTTCTCCAAAGGAAGCCTGAAGCCCCGGTTGTAGTGACGCAGCTGCAACATCGTCAGGGACTCATCCGTCCACAATGCTCGACCCTGTCTCGTGAGCCTGTGGCGTCGCTGTTCTGGCTCTTTCAAGGGTCCTTTGCCCCCCCTTTGTCCATGCGGGGCAGAGAGGCGGGACTGGTTGCTGCCCGCATGCGTTGCCCGCTGCTCAGATTTCTCTTTCGGCCTGGGGGTTGAACTTTGGGTTCTGAGCGGTTCAGGCGTGGGGCGGATGAGTGCTGGGCTTCAACGTCTTAAGGTTTCAGGATTTGGATGATCGGTATGCGGTGGTAGCAGAGGTCGAGCACATTGTGGCGTCCTAGATCGATCCTTCGCTTAAATCCAGCTCCGACTGATGGGCTGCTACACGACTAGCTGTGATTTGCTAGCTTGTTCTGAGGTTAACGCCCAAGCAAGGAAGGCACAAGAACTGTCATGTTTTTGCACGTTGAGTGTGGCACGTTTGCAGCCGAGCCGATGGGAGGCATTCTCTCTGAAGGAGACACCTCCTTGCTACCATGCACAAGTACCGGTGCGGTGCTTAACTGCCATGCGATCGCAAGCTGACTTTCAAAGCCCTTTTGGCTTACCTAGGCTGATTTCCAAGAAGGGCGAGGGCACCTTCTCAGAGGTGCTGAAGGCACGGCTGGCTTTTTCAGAATGCCCAGCACGTCGTGATTATTGCCACGGCCAGGCGCAGTCCATCAAGTCGGGGAAGCATGTAGCAATCAAATGTGACATGGCTGCAAAGGTGCGGTTTTGCGTGGTATTCATATAGGGAAATCTGCATGCATCTAGCACAACCGCCTCGAACAGTCTCGAATGAAGCATGAGCTGGAAACGAGTGTAATGTCACGCAAGCTATTCGTTTGATGCATCAGTTGTCAGCACAGTCTTACAGATTGCCACGGCTGAGGCATGAAGAACCATTTCGACAGCATAGACCAAGTTAACAACTTGCGAGAAATCCAGGCCCGCTGGCAGCCTTGATCGGCCAACACGACCAGTCAGATTGTCATCGCTTCTTCAGCATGTTTCGTATCGCCCATGTTTTGTAGCTTCCAACACGCACGCCCTTGACTTCCTCGACCCGCCTTCAGAGGCACTACGCAGGTTAGCTGGACACCCCAACATCATTAAGCTTCACGAGGCCGGAATGGCAATGACAGCCATTGCAACATTGCAACCGTTTGTTAACGCAGGAATACTCTACCGGCTTTACCATGCAGCCGTCCTTGACAAGCCACCGCGGTTGCGAGGCTCAAGCGAACATGCATTCACGCTCTATTTATACTACGTAGCTTCTGCCTTCGTCCAGAGGGCATCGATACAGAGAATGGCCGCGCGGCTTAAACCAGAGTAGACTCCCAGCACTCTTGTCAAGATGTTTTGGAACTCAGGCCATTTCAATCCGAACAGGAGTTGGCCTAGCCGCTTCCTTTCTTGCTCCTAGCTTGCAGCTAGGGTCCGTCCTGGCCGTCGTGTGCTCCATCACGGTACTTGTCAGTTTGGTTGAATAGAACCTACTTGTAGCTTGGAGACTCTTGATTGATCGGAAGATTCACCAGGACGCCCGAGCTTGTGCTAAGCAGCTGGTGACATCAGGTTATCGCTCTAGCCCTTCGGGATGTCCTTCGCCCGAAGGGCAGTGCTGTTGTGCCGCTTGTCCAAGTTGCTGGGCTGGGCTTGGCTTTTCCAATTGTTCAGGCAGAGACAGAGAGATACGCAAGCTCAAACCGGGGAACTTCGAGCGCTTGACGCGGGGTATCGTCACGACTGCCATTGTGTATGGGTGGAATGGGGTGTAGCAGTGTAGCGGCGATTATCGACAATACAAGACAAACCAAGGATTCTCATGCTTTCCGCGGTTTGGTACTGGACCAGCGCGGTCTGGGCTGCGGTGACCAAGGAATCTCGCCCTTGATACCGTCCTGACGATGGCCTCACATAACGTTGAGACAAGACATGTATCATATTCACACACACACACACATTCCTGTAAAGAAGCTGTTGTCGGAATTGTGGGGGTAGTTTAGTGATAAAGTTTAGTGGTATTTTTGGGATACATGTTTGAGCCAACTTTCCGTTTCCAATTCCTTCAGGCTAGCGCTCTGTTTCGGGCTGAGCGCTTCAGGATCTCAACTACAAGAGACCTACATGGCGCCAGGAGGGTCTTAATGAAAGAGAAACAACAACAACCCCCAGAGCCCCCCGAGTCCTTTTGAAACGCGGGGGCGTGTTTTATGTTGCAGTATGCTCTCGGCTCTAGGCTGCCTTTGCCAGGACATTTTGGCAGAGCTTGGCGCAGCGCTGGTCTATCCCTCCACGAGCATATGGCTGACTTTTGTCCCACAGGCCGGCTCAAGAAAATCATAAGGACGTCTGAGCAGCTTCCAGCCTGTGGCAAGCAGGCATTGACCTATTTCTTGGTGCAGATCTTCGCATGGCTTGCAGGGCTCAACATCTTTGAAGGCCGGGCACCAGCAATGGTACGAAACCCGCTTCGTGCACCTTTGTACATCGTCCAGCCTTGGACGTGTCATGACGTGTTGTTTTTTGGCTGGGCTTTTCGAGCTTGTCCGAAAGGCTTGCCAAGGTGTCAAAACTGCGTACGGCTCTGGAGCACAAATTGACAGCTCTTTGCGGGCAGGAACGGTTTACAGGGTGCTTTGTTTCCATTCTGGTCCATTCTGATATGATGCGGAATGATCGATGCTCCCTGTGAAGGAACCTTCACGCGCTCCAAAAGCGGCAACATGGCAGGATCAAGTTTGGACTTCGCTTCGCTTGGAACTGGCAGAGGTCGGCAGTTCAGGCTTTTTGCGCGCTGGGCCTGGATGCTAGTTGCTGCTAGTCTAGTCAACGTCACTGCATAGTCGTGCACAATGAATCAGCCCTCATGCGCCGACATCAAAACCTGAACCCTTTTGAGAAGATTCTACCCACGGCAGAACGTTTCAGCGCCAAAGCTCGGATGCTGGCCCTGGCTTCTAGTTTGTCATGCAAATGCCTGGCCCGCATGGCCTCTTAAGCCCCATATTCATGCTATGAATGAGAATGAATTCATAATTCTGAAGATTACTAAACTATTTATAGCCGTGCCGCAAGGATCCTGCAGCCAGAAAGAGCCTCTCCTTTCCCCTCTTTGATTCAGCGAGCAGTATCTGGGGGCCTTGTGAACTGCGAGCAAGGGAGCAGCGGGACTTGCATCCGAAATCTTACGGTTCAGCGTGTTTGATGTGAAGGAATGGGAGCATCAATAGATCCCTTCTGCCAGTCGCAAGTTGGAAACCCAGAGCCCAGAGGTATGAGCTTCGGCACTTGGCAGCTTGCCGGGTCTGCGCACCTCGGCAGGGCCTGGATTGCAGCTCGGAGCTGCTGTCTTACGCTCCCTCTCAGAAGTGGTCCGAGGTATTTTTATGGTCAGCTTTTTACAGTGGCGGCACTGGCTCTCGACGCTCCGAGCACTTCGGAGGACATACAATATAGAACATCTGATGAAGGTAAACGCGCGTCTTTCCTGCAGCTCCTCGCAAGACGTTTCGCACGTGATTTCGACGTGCTTTCGAGGCATCGTGTTCGTGGTGAAGGCCATAGAGCCTCTTAGCACCGCGCTGCTTGCGATACCGGTGCTGCGACAGAGCTTCCAGCCGCAGCTGTTTCTGGCAATTGTTGTTGCGACTCGGCTGCAACATCGCAAGATTGTCATAGCGTCTTCCGCTGCAGCCCCGGGGAAGAGCCGTGAGACGTTTCTGGCTGCCTTCTGCAGCTCGGCACTGAAGCCATGATGCTTTCCTGCACAGCTCAGTCAGGCCTGCAGCGGCATTATGATAACGGCGTGGGCCGCTCATGGCGGCTCCAGCGTGATTCTTGTCGGCAGCAAAACCATTCCGGGATTGTGCATGACTGCCCCGCACTGCTCCATCTCATATCCCCGTCCCGCATTTGAGGGTGCAGAGTGGCAGCGCCTACGTTGCGATGTGCATGGGGATGCTGGCCAACATCGGCTTCTCCTGCCGAGCCTGTGTGGCGAAGAGGGTCCGCAGCTCAGGTGGTTTGCCGATGGGACTCAGAGCTTGACGCAACAGCAACTCAGCAACCTGCTCTGAGCCCCGTCGTCAGGCCTTGGTCTTCGAGAGCAACCACCCGCTCCAGGCGGGGCGTCCCTTACCAAAGTGCCTAGGACTCTCACCCTGCATTCGCCGCTTTTGAAAGGCGTTTGGGAAACTCACCGTATCGGCAACACAGTCTGGAACTGCTCCTGGGCATCAAACTCCTGGCGCTTTTTGGCACGTTTGTTCAGCTATTCTGGACAGGTTGACGCCCGAAACGCTCTTCCTGTGACACTGCAAGGTGCTCCTCGTCCTGTGGTTGCTTCTGGGACGAATGCTGCCGAACCACGAAGCCGCCACCAGCTTAATCATGCACCTGTGCCACCGACCCGGTGCATGGTTCACGGCGCCCGGGCACAAGTAGACGTGGCATGCAGCAGCGCATTTGGGATTCGTGCTGTTTGTAGTGACATGTTCGATGTCGCTCGCATGTTGAGTGGTGCGGAGGCAGCATTGACTTATTTCTTGTATCAGAGCTCCTCTCTGCTTCTTTTGCAACTGGGGCGGCACTATTGCACGCGACTTTGGCTTTGCAGGCTTTGGTTCGAGGTGTGCGGTTTCTCGTCCACTTGCATGTTCTCTACGCTGAGTCTGATTCAATAACAGCGTGTGAGACACAAGATTCGAGCTCAAGAGCCTTGATAAGAGTGAGCTGCATCCTATGGACCCGTTGACTGGAGTGACACACGGAAACTCGACGAAGGTAGGAAGTGCCAGATGAATGCATGCCTTAGCAACACTAAACCACCAGAGCAACTGAGGAATTGCTTCCTGGTTGAGACGCATGCGCTGCTTGTGGCTCTAAAGTTGCTTGGGCAGAGATTGCGTGTTGAGGGGCGAATCGTGAGGTTGTTTTGACTGGCTTGCGGCTCATCGGAAGCACTGCACAGGGATTTCATGAGTTTGCCTGCCGATTCATCTATCTACCTATCTACTTATCTAAATGTTATCAGATGTACCCATCTACACATCTACCTGCCTATCTACTTGCCGGCTGCCGAGCTAGCTGGCTGGCTATCTACCTGCCTGTCTACAGCTACTGCCTGCTACTGCTGCTACTGCTTGGTTGTTTCCACAATTGCCGCCTTTTCCATTACAGGAAACAGTACCTTCTTGCCGTAAGCAAAGACCAACCCCTCCCCCAGCCAAATAGACAGCCAGGGCAAACATCTCCGCTAAATTCCATAATATTGCTGTGCGGAAAATCGTAGAAACTGTCGTAGAATGACAATTCCACAATTTCAATGATCCTCCACCACCACATCACCATCATCATCACCGCCAGCGCTGACACCACCGTATAATTCATTGCGACAGCTGCCACATGCCTCATCGCCACCCTCGTCATCCAATTTGCAAGAAAGCGAAATGCGCAAACAACAAAGGTTTGGAATGGGCCGGAGTGAATATATTGGGTACATTTGTCCCGCACACGGCATGCTGCGGCTGCACAATTAAATTCACAGACTTCCCCAGTTGAA